TTTAAGAATTCAGTCCGTACCGCGAAGAAAACACCACTCTTCACCATTACAAAAGATCAACTGGTTAACGCTGTTTAAGGAAATAATCGATGTTTATAATGAGACACGCACTGCGTGCATAATATTTAAGAATTCAGTCCGTACCGCGAAGAAAACACTACTCTTCACCATTACAAAAGATCAGCTGATTGACGCTGTTTAAGGAAATAATCGCTGTTTATGAGTCTAGTCCGTACCGCGAAGAAAACACTACTCTTCACCATTACAAAAGATCAGCTGATTGACGCTGTTTAAGGAAATAATCGCTGTTTACAGCGAGAATCACATGAAACACATAAATACGTTCTGTGAGAAAAGTGTTGAAGGATTGCTAAACGATAAAACAGGTGGTAAATATAGTTACCAAAGGACTCTAAAGGATTCGGACACCAGTAACCGAAAATATTGAAAAACAGCTGTTTAAGAACTCCTTACGCACTGAAAATTCATTCGACAGATTCATGAACTGAAAAAGAATTTATTACGTGGATAAATGTGCACGGAAAGGAGAAGAGATTAAGGAGAGAGAGAGAGAAACAAAGAAAAGGGAAAAAACGCCTAGAACTTGCTTTCCTGCAAACGAACTACGTTTTCTTGCCACCACAGAACTATGTGATTTCCATTAACTAGCGAATATATTATGCGTTTAAACGTGGTATGATACATAATTTCTGACGCACCGCTAATAAAATCCCTTTAAATAAAATCACACCAACCGGGGGGGGGGGAGAGAAGAAAAACCAACTACGGGTTTGTTAATTGTTCCAATTAGCTTAGCTTAAGGATTACGCAGCCCACTACATGCAAGAGAGAGGGTGTAACAGCCTAGCTAACGTAATTAACTGGCGTTATTATTGAAGTACCAGAAAATTCAATCACTGACTAGTAACCATATCAGTGTTGCCACAGCTTTACTGATCGTCACATTAACACACGCAATTTATACGTGGCCGTCACTACGCAGACATTTTGTACAACTCGTTTAAATACGGGTCTACCAAAATGTGTGTTATAATTTTCAACGATCCCTCAACAAATCGCGGACGCCACGTTCCTGGGGAGGAATAACAGCTGTTGGCAACACTTACACCTTATTTGCGGCGAGGAGGGGAGTGAAACCCGTGTTGTCTCTGCCTTTCCCTTTATAAACGCAGCGTAACAGCGTGTTTAAAAATAACACGTGATTTAATAAACTAGTTGGAACAATGAAATTAACACGAGATTTAAGAGTTGTTCACAACACGCTGCATTACTAAGAGTTTGAAGTCGACGATGATGACGTAACGTTCAACACAAAACAGGTCAAAACGAATGAGTCACTTCTGTTCAGACCCATCCTGTTCCAATAACATTTTCTCTGAGTGTACACGATTACAAGGCGTGGTATATAAAAAATAATTCGGTTGGCAAAGTGGGACACAAATGCAAAATTGGGGCTGGAATGGGCTTGCTATGTGTGTGTGTGTGTGTGTGTGTGTGTTATTTTCATTCTTTTAAGCCCAGGAAATTCACCGCCGACACCATAAAACGAGAGACCGATACATTGCTACGTCGCCAATTACAGTTCTTGGGCAAGATCACGAGACGTTTCTCCTGATGACGCAACTTCCTTCACGTGCAATTAACCTCCACAAACGTCTAATTTCCTCAATGCCAACCGATCAGTGGGGATTCAGAAACAAGTCTGATATTAACATTACAATAAATAAACGTCTCGATAAGAATTCATCTAACATTCATCACTTGCGGCTTCTAAACAACCAAATACGATAATTAAGGTCGCTAGTTAGGAAAATCCACTCGAAATCATAATTCCCGTTTGAAACACAGAATCTAGATAAAATTTAATTCAGTTTCGACAATGAAAACAAAATACTCGCCGAGAGTCAAACGTAAGTGTAATAAAACTAGATGACAGTAAAAATACAAACGATATTTAATCGCTAGGGGGTACCAGATATTAATTTAAAAAACAGGGTTATAGAGTAAATTAATAAAAAAATTCAGAAAACACATGGCACAACAAAATCAACCCTCAAAGTAGCATTCTTCAGACGATTAATGAAAACACTATTAAAACATTCTTTCTCATGATTAATTACTGGTTTATTTAACGACGTCTTATCAGCGTCAAGGAATACGAAGTGTAGAATAGTAGGTTGATTCGTAAATGATAAAATGGTAGATGTTGGTGGAAGGAGTCATTTCTTAAGATAACAAGTCTGGACAACAACAGAATATAATTTTGGGGAGGGGGGAAATTTAAACAGCTGAAGTGCTGAAAGCACGAGACAGAATTGTATTCAGAAAGATTGTCTGAATTGTGGTGTAGGAATAAAAGATGGCTGGTGCATTACTTATCTGTAATTACTAACATTTTGTACGTGATAAAAGTTTTCCTCTCTTGTGTGGTCTTTGTCACTGAAGTTGACGAAGATTTGCTTAATATCACAAAATCCGAAGCGAAGTCTACAGATAAACACATATTGATAATTTAACCACAGGAGATTCAATGTCTCTGAAAACAATGACGTGACGTCGAATTCAATTAGGGCTAGAAGAAATATTCAACGCACGTTAAAGGGACCGAAAACCTATAAGTGGTTAATTTCAAAGTCCTACGTAGTCCATTACTCATAAATGCAAGAAACGAAATTTAAAAGCCGTGAATTCGTATGACAGAAATTTTTTCGACATCGAAGCTTTAACACACGCAATGAATTAAATGATGATATTAGATTTGATTGGCTCATCAAAAACTCTCTGCGTCCACGGGTATACTAAACTAGTGCTATTTCTAATCTTTCCGCACGTGCTACATGCCTGACCCATCCCACACGTCTTGATTTGTTCCATTCCACCATTAACATTGTCCTGTTTCGTCTTAATATTTTCCACAAACGAAAATAAATAACAAACAAACGAACATAGCTGTGGAAGGCGAAAGCAGTGTCATTCAGTGAAAGTTGAAGAGGGTTCTCAAACACTGTACGGTGTCAGACGTTTCGGAACATGAATCCTTTGTTTAATTTTCCTTAAAGGAACAAGTGCCTTTCGCAAAACGAAGTTTAATGCCTCGGAATTCATTGGGTCACGATTATTTTGGACAAACCTGTTAATGGCACTGGAAAGAATTGACGTATCTCGCGTTTTATGAAACTGGGGCCGCGTACATGAGCGCCTCGAGCTAAGTGTCAAGACTCCTCCGAAGAAACTCCTGGAATTACACGCTCGATCACGAAGCGTCCTTTGTCTGATGGAACTGAAACATAGCGAGAAACTTGCGTGTCGCCAGGCGAGAGACCATCTCAAACAGCGTTAGCATTCCTCACTACTGCACAAACAGCCCCTCTCTCTGCTCGACCCATTTCCAAATTTAAACAGCTGAAGTGCTGAAAGCACGAGACAGAATTGTATTCAGAAAGATTGTCTGAATTGTGGTGTAGGAATAAAAGATGGCTGGTGCATTACTTATCTGTAATTACTAACATTTTGTACGTGATAAAAGTTTTCCTCTCTTGTGTGGTCTTTGTCACTGAAGTTGACGAAGATTTGCTTAATATCACAAAATCCGAAGCGAAGTCTACAGATAAACACATATTGATAATTTAACCACAGGAGATTCAATGTCTCTGAAAACAATGACGTGACGTCGAATTCAATTAGGGCTAGAAGAAATATTCAACGCACGTTAAAGGGACCGAAAACCTATAAGTGGTTAATTTCAAAGTCCTACGTAGTCCATTACTCATAAATGCAAGAAACGAAATTTAAAAGCCGTGAATTCGTATGACAGAAATTTTTTCGACATCGAAGCTTTAACACACGCAATGAATTAAATGATGATATTAGATTTGATTGGCTCATCAAAAACTCTCTGCGTCCACGGGTATACTAAACTAGTGCTATTTCTAATCTTTCCGCACGTGCTACATGCCTGACCCATCCCACACGTCTTGATTTGTTCCATTCCACCATTAACATTGTCCTGTTTCGTCTTAATATTTTCCACAAACGAAAATAAATAACAAACAAACGAACATAGCTGTGGAAGGCGAAAGCAGTGTCATTCAGTGAAAGTTGAAGAGGGTTCTCAAACACTGTACGGTGTCAGACGTTTCGGAACATGAATCCTTTGTTTAATTTTCCTTAAAGGAACAAGTGCCTTTCGCAAAACGAAGTTTAATGCCTCGGAATTCATTGGGTCACGATTATTTTGGACAAACCTGTTAATGGCACTGGAAAGAATTGACGTATCTCGCGTTTTATGAAACTGGGGCCGCGTACATGAGCGCCTCGAGCTAAGTGTCAAGACTCCTCCGAAGAAACTCCTGGAATTACACGCTCGATCACGAAGCGTCCTTTGTCTGATGGAACTGAAACATAGCGAGAAACTTGCGTGTCGCCAGGCGAGAGACCATCTCAAACAGCGTTAGCATTCCTCACTACTGCACAAACAGCCCCTCTCTCTGCTCGACCCATTTCCAGCGGTCCTGCTCACAGCAATATTTCCACCTGACGCCCACTGCCAAAAACACTTCTTAGCGGCAAATTACGATATCTTATTCACGACCCAAAAATTTCAAAATTCTTCCGTATCGGGAATAATTAGAAACGTTGTATTATACTAATTGTTCTGTGAACACGAATACATTTTGCAAAAATAAAAACTGAAAAATTCGTCGGAAACACAGATTTTTTCCCCTCGCGACCCAAGGTTTTGGAATCCCCGGCTGTAGCCACGTGTTCGTTAAATTAAAGACGAATCACATTTGATCACAATTATCAATTTTAAGTAATATCGCAGAGAATATTACTCTAAAATCCGCCTATGACTGTGAAATTTATTTCAAGCGTTATCGACGTAAGCTAAGGACACGAGATGTGTAACTTCAAATCGTTTATAAGATAAGGTATCAAAATTATTGTATCATTATTGATAGCAACGGGTACTTACTTACCATACTGGCTTCTGGATTTATCTTCCCCTTTCCGAGTCGAGCATCTGGAAAAAAGGAAAATAAATCTTACACACGAATTTAAATTACGTTTCTGTAATGACACGTCCGATAAAACAACAGTAAACACGTGTCAAAACTGCTCCATGATAGCGATGTCCACTGGCGTAATTTATCCCGCTAATTAAGCAGAAGCAGGCCTGTTAGTCTGACCTTTCTTATGCCTTACGGGCCGACCGGAATCAAAATATAAACTTCTGGAACTCTCCTAGAGACACATTGCAGAACTCCCTGGGCAGGGGATCAGCCCGAGGCCTCAGCTCAGAAGAATGCACATTCCACGTCTCGAGTGGAATCACTACGCCATTTTCTGAGGACATCATTTAATCTCACGATAAAAACAAATCGTATTCAGCAAAAGACGCCAAGTGGCGTACAGCCTACTGGCTGATACTCCAAGACAACTTTTTCCAAAGGCAAGCGACTTTCAATAACTATTATTAATGCCCTCCCAAACAAAACAAAGTTTGAAAGTTATGTTCATTTGCTATAATTATAGACGTAAAAAAAACTGAATAAAAATTTACTTGGATATTATCCATCGTCTAGTAAATATAAAACGTAAAACGACGTTTCGGAGATGGGACTCTATCTCCGTCTTCAGGTTCCTACACAGTTGGGCCCACTAGATAGAGCTAATCCCTATCTCCGGA